TTCATTAATAATAATCTAATTAAATTTATCGTGATTGTTAATCAATATAGAAATAAATGCACACGTACAGTAATAAGCTGATAGTACACTGTAAAGATAATGTTTAATATTGATCATATATATATATATATATCATATATATGTAAGTATCAGTTAAGTAGTACTTAAGTAACTTATTTTGTTATAATATTTCGTTAATGTTCATTTCTCCTTGAATTCCTGATTTCCTTTTCTTATTTTACAAATTTTTCTTACAAATCTATGGTTTACTATATGTAATTGTAAAATTTTTGTTAAATATGAAAAATTATTGGTTTACATGCATGCGCGCACGCGCACACACACACACACATATATATATATATATAGATTGATATATCAATTGATAAGATCATATATAAGTTATAATTATAAGTAACAAATATTTATATCATATATATATCGCTAGCATACATACTTCTCAACAATAATAGATGATCACACACAAACAAAAATTATTTTAAACGTATTATTTTTTTAAAAAAAAAAACCTCAACTTGATCGAACCACGAAAAAAAGTGAGTTAAAATTTGTAATCGCAATTTACCCACGACTTTCCCACGACAAATAAGAATATACCCACATCATTTTTTACCCACAGCCAAAGTCGTGGGTAATGTAAATTTTACCCACGACTTACTCATGAAATGTTCCGTGTGTAATTACCCATAAAAATTCTCGTGGGTAATATGTGAGAAACGTTTTGGCAGGAAATAAATTACTCACCACTTGCCCACAAAAAAAGATGTGTGTAATTACTCATAACCTATCTCGTGTGTAAATCGTGAGAAAATTCTTGGTCGGAATATATTACCTACGGCATACCCATGAAAATGTTTACCATGGGTATTTCTGTGAGTAATGCGTGGAATGTCGTGGGTAAATTTATTTTTTTGGGGACTCAGATTTTAGTCAACGCTTCCTAGGAAAATCGTGAGTAATGCGTGGGTAATTACCCACGATTTATCCACGACTCACTATTTGCCATGGGTAACGACTTGGATTTTTGTAGTGAATAATAATAAATATTTTTTTTTAAGAAAAAAAGGAGATCAAATGTGAAATGAAAAGTGAAAAGAGCACAAATTAGAGATGAAGGAGGAAGGTAGCAAAGGTTAATGAAAGGTTGCACACCAGTTAGGGAACCAAAGGGACCAATTGCATAGACAGTTCACAACTCCATTGTTGAAGAGTCAACCTCAATGTTCCTTTCTAGTCCTTCGAACCTCCAACAAAACCCTATCATCATAATCATCATTTTTCAATGTGAAGAAAATATAGTTGTTTGAAATTTTGAGATGTAATGAACATCAAATATGGGCACAAGTAAGAAAAGAAGAGGGAAAGGAAAGAAAAAAGGGACACTTGAATTGCACGAACGCACGCAATAAAAGCATGCAACAAAAGTACTTTTTGTGTCCACAAAAAAAGCATTTTTTTTTTCACTATTAGTCCATTTAAATTTCCAAATCCTCAAATATTTTAACCAGACATTCATTATTCCATTCGTGCTGTGATAATAACTCATTAAATGTAATACTCTATGTCTCAAAATTATTGTCAGATTTCACTTTTAGTACATTTTAAACTAAAAATAAAAACTCAAACGGACATTAATTATGAAACGAAAGGAGTACGTATTTTTAGTCCATCTTTCTTTTACAAGAAACTTAGGTTCAAGATGTAACAATATAATTCTGGATTGAAAAAAAAAAATGACGGAGAGCTCGATTTATGTTATAAGTTTATCTCTTTAATTACTACTACAACAAACAAAATTTCTTTAGTGACCAGAGTCCTTTTTTTTTTTTTGAAAGAAAAAATTTCCACATTTTGGTGGGAGATTTTTGAGAGTCGGATATATAATTATGGCTTGTCTAGGGGCTCACGTGTGAGAGGTAATTGATTTCCCCCGTTTATATTGAGTGCCAAGCACTCTTACTCTTTTTTTTACTTTCCACTTATTATAGGGACACTAGTTTTAATTGCATCTTTTTTGGTTGCGTGGACAATTTGCTTCCATTGCAATTCGTTTAGATATTCATCTCAATCTGGTAGGTGATTGTTTGTGTCCCTTTCTCGTTTCTCTTTTCCATTTTGTGATCGATGTCAAATGAGATAACGAGATTTTTAGTTAAATATCAGTGTTTGTTTTACACTTTTAGTACCATTATTTTGAAAATAATTTTGCCGTTATAAGTAATTATTTATTTTTTAGAAATGGCACTTTAAGAAATATAGATAAAAACACATTTTCAATCCTTAACATGACAGTTAGCACTCTCTCCGTCCTGAATTTGTATTAGAAATAAAAGTTCAAATAGAATCATCATTTAAGAACTGAAGAATTATAATATAAAATATTTCATGGAATATTCTTTACTACGAGCCATCTATTTTACACTTTTGTTTATCAACACACATGTGTCTCAATAATGAAATAATATTGTATACCTAGAAGCACAGAAAGAGAACATATCTTGACCTTTATTGTTTTATGCCTCTCGAATTGATCCACGTTTCAATAAATATGATTGTAATGATCATATCTACAAGTCGAAGTTGAAAATAAATTATTCGTGTGTATTATTAATCTTAAGGCGCGTATACCCTTTAAACTATTATTTCATAAATATAATATACTTTTTCCGGAAATAAATTGGCCAATTTTTTAAAAACTAAAATCTTAAATTTATGCACTTTAATTTTTTAAACTGGACTTATGGATAAAGTAACAAATTATTACCTCGTCCACGTTGAGTTTTTTACTAGTTTTGTAACAAATTTTAAAGTTCAATTTGAACTATTATTTCTAGAACTAGAAAGTATGCAATTAATCCTCTCTTAAATAATTAAAAAAAAATTAAAGGGAAAGTAGGTAGAGGAAGGAATTCTCTGACTCCCCACCACAAAAATTAGAAGGATGCACTTTTTGCCTCCAGACAGATGCATAAACGTGGATTTCAATCGTGTGCCCTTTTTTACACTTTCTGGCTTTGAAGTTCTGATCGATCGTAGTACATAGGGATTAGCAAACCGAAAACAAGTTATCTTTCACCTTGGAATCAATTGTGTTATATATTGAAAGGTTTTATTTTATTTATTTTTATTTTCTCAAAATACATGAATATTAGTTAAGAAAAGATATTGAAATTATTACATCACATCCTACTATAAACTAAATTATGCAATTCCAGAACGTTTTATCTATTAGTTTTAGTCAGTTGATAAGACTAAAAAGAAGCAATATAAATGAAAGAGATAAATACTTCCTGACCTTCAATCAGAGTTTTGTCGATCCTTAGATCCCATGTTAAAATTTCACAATATGTGTGGATTTTTATCGTATGAATACTCAAATTTGACTTCTAGAAGTGGCAGTAAATATGTCATTGCTTCTCGAGGCAATGGTTTTGTTTTGTTAGTCTGATTGAGAAAAACAAAACGCACAAATCAGATACTTTGTATATACCAAATTAAAGGGTATTATTATTCGTCGAATTAAATCAATTTCTCTTTCTTTTCCGTAAAAAAAAAAAAAAATACTTTGAGACGAAGAAGTACTCAGTTGAGGTTAAGCCCTTACAACATAAATAATTGGTGAATGAAAACGCAGTTCAAATCTTTTGATCATGTTATTCTTTATTATTCTCTTTGTTCTATAAAAAATAACTTATATTGTATTTTGTAAATTGTATTTGAAGTAATAAAATTCTGGAATTGTAATGTGGATTATTTTTATAAGATGAAGGGAGATTTTGATAGTTTCAAAGTGTAGACATTCTAGTGCTATATTTATTTTGAATTAAACCTAATGTAGTTAGTTCTATTCCAATGTATACATTTACGTCAAAAAATCATGTACTCATCCCCTACGAAATTTTCTTTACAAGCGTTCTAAGATGCATGAATCATATTTTTAATGATACCTCATCTGTCCCAAAAAAATAGTCTATATTAAGTTTTTAAATTATTTAACAAAAAAGGTTTTCAAAATATTGTGATCAATTGAGCTCGTATTTGCCACAGTACTCTTATTAACTCCACAATATACTAATATATAAAAAAAGTTCCACAATATACTACTAACTGAAGGAAATGCTTATAGGTGATGACAAAGAGCATTTAACCAGAGGAGAGTCAAAGTATTGTGTCATTTTATAGTTTTCTCCATCTTCAAATAAAGAGTCATTTTTATCGTATTAAAATAGTTTGGAACCGAGGAAAATTTCAACGGTTAATTTTGATCGGGCCTGTTCTTGGTCATCGTATGTCTAGGTATATATACTCCGTGAGAAACGCGTGCACCAAACAGAGAACATGCATTGTGGAGCTACATGATGTACTACATGCTCCAGAAAATTTAGAAGAAATCATAAATTTCTTTTCTTTTTTGGTGAAGAAAGAAATCATGAATTCTATTATGCCGTGCGGGAGACATGCCCAAAACTAGAGGAGGTCGAAAATGGCCTAATAAGAGCAACAAAATTTGGACAATCAACTCTTCCACCATGAAAAATCGACCAAATAGATTGAAAACGTATCAAAAGAAAGAAAACACCCCTTTATTACCACACAAATAAGCGAAAAGACACTTAATAAGGGCAGACAATAATAATTAAGAAAAAGAAAACGAGACCAATCAGCCTTTTATTGTTGGTAAAATAGTGCCACTACTACTATTACTATTATTAGTGGACTTTCAAAACTAGGTTCCTATACGTCCCAACAACTAATAACCCTATTTCAGAATGTGAGATTTTTCCAAGTGGTCAAAGGTGTTGGGCAGACGTATGAGAGGTCTATGAACCGAATGCAACAGATTATTTATTAATATAATCATAATCCTTTTATATATACATATATATATATATATAACATGAAAAAAAAAAAAACAATAACCCTTCTCTATTGTCTATATATAGTCAAAATTGGACCACTAAAATTCTATCTCTAAATATACAAAACTGATGAGAGATGTCTGACTACTTTTTCTCATGAAAGAAACAAAACCAAAATTCGTTAAAATTCATCAAATCCAACTTCTTTATTAAGACAACCCTATAGCTACTAAGACAACTACTATTCAAATACTAGTAGTAGTAGTAGTACTGTCACTTTGTCAGTGTGTTGTTTGGTGGTGTGTGTGTGTGTGTGTGTGTTTGTGCATGGAGTATAACCGCCACAGAGTTCATGAGTCATTCATATATACATGGTTCTCCACCATAGCTGCTGTCTTGCAGTTTAAGGTTGTAAGTTGTGCTCTAATGAAGGCTATTGTTAAGTACTTGGCTGGTCTTGCTGGCCCTAGTGGCTATGGCTCTAAATCTACTGCTGAGCAAGTTACTCAACACTGCTCTCTTTCTTCTACTTCTTCACCTTCTTCAACTCTTACCGCTATCATAACCGGTAGGTATATTTCGCTATGAGAAATCACTGTAAATTTGTCGACAGATGTGTCGCATTGATGCATTCATTCCTTCTATAAACTTATTCATTCATCTGCATTAGTGTGAGAGTGTGTGTGCAGATGGAAAGTCACACATCCATCCCTTTAGCATGAATATTATCAAGAGTTTTCTTTGCAGAAATCCAACTCTTGAAATGTTTATTTATTGTGGGATTTAGTTTTAGTTTTTTGTTTTTGTCCCTTATCTTTTTTTCTTTTTTCTTTGGGTTAAATCACTCAAGAAGGAAGAGTTTCAGGCCTTGGCCTTGTCTTTTTGAGTTGATGATATTGTTTCTTTCACTTTCGGTGCTGGCATGGCCTTATTGAAAGATTCTTCATTTGGCATTTCTTTCTTTAAAATCATTAATTTCGTAGTAACTACTTCTGTACTTGAACATGAATTTTTTTTTTCTCCCTTTCTTTAATTCATTTTCTTTCACTTCTGGGAATTGGGGATTAATTTGTTTTATGAAATGCAAAATTTGGGAGTTCTTATTTTTGCTTGGTATCACAATTCAGGAATTTCTCTCTGTTCATTTTTTTTTTTGTAATGATTAATTTCTCATTGATTTGCTGCAAATTAGCCGAAATTGGTGGCTTGCTTTTGAGCATTTTGTTTGCAATTTAATCAGCATATTTGATGCTGGAGACTGGAGTTGCTGTTTAAGTTCCACTTGTTTTTGCCTTTTTGCGTTAATCAAATGTTTTCTTTTTTTCTTTGTTGGGATCTCATCCAACAACATTAGTAACACTCACACCAAACCACACCAAATATTGTTTTGATGAAACCTATGTTATTAAATAATCTTTTTTCAAGAGTCAGAAAAGTTTGCATTATTCTATTAGCTATATATAGCTCTATGTAGCTGCACTTTTCTTTCTTTGATGTTTGGTGCAAGATTTTTGTTTTGTCCCTTCTAAAGTTTGAATAAATGGTTAAGTTTACCTTCACATAGACACGCTAGATTGAAACAATACCTTCATATTTGTTGTTTTACTAATTATGTCCTGATAGTCACTTTATCTGTAATAATCACAAGCTTCACTTAATTTAACAAATTTACAACCTTTTGCAAATAAAACATGTATGATACACCAGAGTAGATCTTATTTGGCTAGATTATACTATGTTTGACATTTTTTTTTTTTTTATATTACGCACTCAGTCTCTGAAGTCATTGCTCCTACTAATTTGGATTCGAACCGGGTAGATTATATTATGTTTGACATTATTGATGAATACCAAGCACTCCTCCTTTCGTATTAAAGTGCTCATTATTTAATTAGGGATGATGTGACTTATTAATTGGCACAATTCCACCATGCTAGGACATACACTCACATATATAATTAACCAATTTTTAATATCACATTGGAGGATAAATTATTGTCAATAACTTATTTGCACCGCCCAAAATTAAATACTTAAACTTTAAGCAAATCAGTTTTAGTCTTGATTTTTTGATTTGATAATCAATTTCTTTGTTAATTTTGACCAGGGGCAACATCTGGAATTGGCGCTGAAACAGCAAGAGTTTTGGCAAAAAGAGGTGTGAGGATAATCATACCAGCAAGGGACAGAAAGAAGGCTACTTTGGTAAAAGAGAAAATACTAAAAGAAAGCCCTGAGGCTGATATCACTTTGCTGGAGATTGATCTCAGCTCTTTTGCTTCAGTCAAGAGATTCTGTACTGAGTTTCTGTCTCTAGGGTTACCCCTCAATATTTTAATGTATGAATTTACAATATTACTTATTTTCTAAAATAATTATGATTACTTTTTTTTTCTTTCCAACTAATGAAGAGTTTATAAAGAAAAGAATTTGTTTGTTTGTTTTTTGAACAGAAATAATGCTGGGAAATTTTCCCAGAAGCTTGAGTATTCAGAAGACAAGATTGAGATGACATTTGCGACTAATTACTTAGGTAATCATCTCATTCTCTCAGCAAACTTTACCATATTTTTTTACATATCGAGTTTGGTGTATAGTAATGGTAACTAAAGACAATTTATTCTTGCTACACAAATAATGTGTAGTTTAAAATATATTTGCATATTCTTGGATTTAACTTGTTGAAAGGCATAAAAAGTGTATTTTTCTTGTGATTAGTAGTATTACGTAATATCTTGAATCCGTGTTGAGTCGGGTATAAATATCACATTTTGTGTAGTAATAGTTCCATTTTATTGAATTAAAGCGCAATTCATATTTTCACCTTTTTTGCAGGCCATTTTCTACTGACTGAAATGCTGCTGGAGAAAATGGTGGAGACAGCAGCAGAAACTGGCATAGAAGGAAGAATAGTGAATGTTTCCTCAGTGATTCACCACTGGGTTAAACGAAATCATTTCTCCTTTTCCCAAATGCTCAATCCATCCAAGTAACTTTTTTTTTTCACCCTGTCCTTCTTAAAAGTAACTTCTTCTTTTATTTTATTTTTTGGTTTTTCAAAAATAAAATAAAACTTCTTTTTCTTTTTTAGCTTTTTAATTCCTTCATCTCTCTGCCACCCGTTGGATGTTTTCATTTGTCTCCTATGCTAATGTCGATCCTTACTCTCTCCGTTCAACCGCTCATATGCTATTCTTTACTTCTTTAATACTCCTTCCGTCCCGAAATGACTGTCAAATTTAATTTTTATTTCTAATATAAATTGTACTAGATTTGAACATCCAAACTAACAATAATTTTGAATTGGAAGGAGTAATAGTCAATATTAATAGAGGCCTTCTGCATTTAAGAAAGACTGTTAACAAAAAATTTTCAATTATCTCGTTTTCGAAATTTGATATAATCTTATGATACTTATCTTACTTGGACAAAATCATCTGGCCCGCCTACTGCAATTGATGACAATCTTTCTTTTTTTAATTCTTTATCCTTTTTGTCTTTGTACAGCTACAATGGCACCCGCGCCTACGCGCAATCTAAATTGGCCAATATATTGCACGCCAAGGAGTTGTCAAGACAACTAAAGGTAAAAGACCAATAAACTCATTAGTTATAAGAGCTTCGAATCCAGAAATTGACTCTATTTCTTCCATGAATCCCTATCATACTTCATCTTCGGCTGTTGTTGACCGATGGATAACCAACACCATATAAACTAAGTTGTGAAATAATTAGAAAGTGGTTAAAAGGGAAAAAAAGAAAAAGAAAAAAAGGATTAGCAGTTAACCATGTTTTTGTTCTAATAGTTTATCTTGTAATATCTTAATAGAACCGTTAAAATATTACTCCCATCCCCAAAAAATAGTTTATATTGAGTTTTTTAATTTTTTGTACTAGAAACAGTACCAAATTCAATGTAAACTATTTTTTGTAGGATGAACGGAATATACCGGAAGAAGTATTTTACGTAGATGCAGACCATATGGCGGGATGGGGCGGGTGAGGGGAATAAGAAGGAAAAAGAGAACACAATAACAAGGCCAAAAGAATCAGAACAATATGATAGGCAATGAAAATGAAAGAACAAATGAAATGAAAAGAAAAAACCAAAAGGGAAAGTGACAATTCAAAGTTGGCAAGAAAATTTTATCTCATTGTTGGAATGTAGCAGGAAAGGAAAGCAAACGTAACCATCAATGCAGTTCATCCGGGTATTGTGAAGACAGGAATCATCAGGGATCACAAAGGCTTTATCACAGGCATGCTTTTTTTTTTTTCACTAACCATTTTTCTTAAAATCTCCAGACCAAATCAAACACTCAAAACCGACAACAAAGCTTCGAAACTGCAATATTAATCATTAACACTTTTACTTTTTCCTTTCCAGAATCTCTATTTTTTGTGGCAGCGAAGTTGCTGAAATCCACATCACAGGTTTGTCCATCCATTACCTGGTTGTCTCTTTTAACAATACAGAATGTAAGGCCACATGATGAGTCTAAAATTCATTCAATGGTTCTCTTGTTTTTGGATCGATGTTTTCAGGGTGCAGCTACAACATGTTATGTGGCTGTTAGTCCACAAACAGAAGGGATGAGTGGGTTATACTTTTCAGACTGTAATCAATGTCACAGCTCAAGCCTAGCAAATGATGAAGCTGTAGCACTTAAGTTATGGAAGCTCACTAGATCCTTAATTCGCAGAAGATCACATTACACAGTAGCATAAGTCGCTTTCTTTCTCACAATAAGGATATTACAATCAATGTAAATGAGTAGATACAGTGTGTCACAGGTAAATGCAACCACACATCTTTAGCAAGTTGTTAATCTGATAACCCAAAAATTCACAATGATACTATTACAGAAAATCTATAGATCTTCATAGATCTTCCACCATCAGGGCATCCTGTTGAGCTCCTGCGTGTACAGGTCTAACCTTTCAATCAGTACTCATATCTAGCCAGAACCTAATTGAGCGATTATGGTATGGAAATGAGCCTAAATACTAAGGCTTGAATCCGACCTATAGCAAAGAACATTATGACACCATCATATTTTTACAAAACTTGCCCATTCCAGTTGTAAGCATAAAATAGAATTAATAATCATAGTCTGGAATTTACACCTCCAAATGTTATAGAATCAAGCCTTACACTAAGTAGGAACGACTCATAAGAACTGCAGCTCTATAAGTCAATTGCCTATGCCATATCAATAAATTATAGTACAGCACAGATTTCAGATACTGAATCTATTTCATCGATCATACATGATGGTAAATGACTAGAAGATGAGATTTCCACATCTAACCTATGCATTCACAGTACAGGAAGCTAAGCTTTTACCTTCTAATACAGGCTACAAGTTTTGATGGATATTAAATGGGAAAACAAGTGGGAGAAGGTCTAATTGCAAAAGTGATCAGTTGAGGTTGTATGTAGCATGTTAACTCTGCTGATCTTCATTTCTTCACCTGCCAAAAGATGACTCGAATCAGAATACGGTACCTGTCTTCATATCTTGAAAGGGGAAAGGGAAATAAATCTTCAACAAACAAACTAGACAATTTCAAGACCATCCGACACTCTTAGGCCTAAAATATCCAGTATAACACACTCGGATTGATCTCACTCAAAATGGTTCGATGGATTATTCTTCTCTCTTTGACTCCAAAAGGATGCATGTAGTGTTTTTAGGCAACAATTAAACCTTAGACTTAATTGCTTATTCTGGAAGAAGACACTCACAATTCAAAAGAGACAAATACATTCAAACACATTAGCAGCACAGGTATTTCATGAAAACAAAACTATTACCGTTATCTCTAACCACATTGTAAGCTTTCCAATCATGACTTCCTCTTAGAACACAACCAAAAAAGAAACCCTTTTTTGCGTCTAGCTGACTGATTTGTTTGCAACTTAAAAGTAGCCTCCCTTATCAGTGTAGATATTATCGGGCTAAAAAGTCATGAACTTCACCGAAATGGCAAATAGTTCAATGCAATCCTCTCCTGTAATCTCATAAATTCTTTCTTCACATAGCACCTACAATTAGCTGTAACTTTTCTGCCAAGCACCCACATTGAACAATTTAAACCCACTCCCAAAAAGGAGAAAAAAAAAAGAAAGGAAAGGAAAGAATGCAATGCATACAATGTAAACAACGGCATTCTCTTAAGTTCCAACCCACGAATTTGAAAGTACTTAAATACACACTCTAGGTTTTCTCCTCCTGAACCCTGTTTCCTGTTCTCATATCGTTCCATTTCTTTAAGCTATTCGTCTACACCGGAGATGAGTAAGATCTAAATGCTCCTACATTTCAGAATAAAACTCCTCTCACTTTATCATCTGTAAGCTTCTGGCAGTCGATACCCAGGCATCACAATTTTGTCAGCAAACATCTTTCCAACCTTTAGCATCACATTCCAGTGCAATGTCAAGTAGAAGTCCTTACCCCGTAGATTACTTCCCTATTACCACCAACAGATGCATACAACATAACCACCCATCATGGAGCCATAATTTTTAACTTACACCAAAACACAAAGGGGTTCGCAAACTGAGCCCCGAAGAATGAAAACACTCACCTGATCAACAAAGCAGTACTTGTTGTGGACATGAATGATAAATTTTGCTCACTTTCTAAGGTATGATACTGTCCCATAGAGATACCTTCACATTTTCATCTCCCATCGGCCAACAAATTTGTAGAAAACAGTTATCAACTAAGCCATTATCCCAACATCAAGGTGCAGACAGATAAGGTAATGTGTCATAGACAGATAAGGTAATGTGTCAGTGATGTTAATTAAACATCAGTATGTGTTAGTTATATTCATACATCTCTCTGATTAACTAGCACAATGGAAGCCAGCACATTGGGGTTAATTGGTTTTGTTTGTACCACCACTTCAACAAGCCTTCATTCCTGTATATACAGTACTGGACCCCAACATCTGTTATCCCCCGTTACTCAATGTTATTATTACACTGCATTTATCTCGCTTCCCAACAAATAATAATTCATGGAGGATATTAGCTTATATTCAACCGAAAATGGTCTTGGAAAGATCAATTGGCTCGTTATTGTGGGCCAAATCCGATGTTTAGTCTATCCAAGATTAGAAATGTTTCAAGAAAAGAGATACGTGTAAAGTGTAAACATGCCAGTGGTATCACAGAAAGTAAGCTGGAGAAACACATCATTTCCATAAGCTCAACTGATTATACTACTTATTACGTGATAACGTCTAAACCCTTATTTTCCACTAAACCGGGATGATGACATACACACAATGTTTGGTCAGGAAAACAAATTATCCCCACTTAAGGGAAATATAAGCCTACCACTCCCCGTGAATTTTATCATTCCAATTCCAAGTTCCTCCAACAGCTCCATCACACATAAACCATGCAGGGTTATATGAGAGAAAATCAATGCAACGGTGTCTAAAACAAAGTAATCTCAGCCACCATCAGAGTAATCTCAGCCACTACCTTGCCTTAGCAAAAGCCAATTTACAAGCTATTTATTTACCTTAGACTTTGATCATTAGTATGCGGGGAGTTCAAACCTATCTTGCGTTTAAATCCAAGTCGCCTCCATCACGCCACTCGCTCTGCATGGCTCCATCTCCATTTTCTGTTTCCTCATCATTCAAGAAATCATCCGATGGCTCCTTTTCGTCTTTTGGCCCATTGTTACCCCATCCATTCATCATGTCCTCAGTAGTGGGCACCTGGTCTTGCTGACTCGCGTCATGACCAACGGGCAAGTTATTCATTTGAGATCCAAGAGCACTTGCTCGCATAGGGGCTCGAATCAGCATCTCTGCATGATGCATATCTACTCCTCGAGCTGATTGCTCCTGAGCCATGGCTGCCATTCGCAGGTTAGACTCCTGACTTTCTCGACTTGCTGTTTTTTGCCTTGAGTCCATTTCTGCCCTCATTTCAAGCAAAGCTCGCCTCTCCTCCTGCAAGAGTAGCTGCTCGATCATCAACTTCTCCTCTGTTCGGAATTCCCCGAGATCTCGCTTACGAGAAATAATGTTGAATGCAAGGACTTGCTTCTCAAATGTGGCGGCGAACTCCGCAACTTTGGCAGCAATGTTGTGGTCCCACTGCTGTGATCGAGAAAGCATTTGGCCAGTACTGTCAGAATCGAGAATCTTGTCATCCTCCTCTGCTTCGTAATCTGCCACCACGTGGTAAGGCAGCAGCCTAAAAATTCTCCAAAAACATGTCAGGGTAACAAGTTGTAAAACAGACAACATGATCCAAGAGATATTATACATGATCCATCTGGAAGGGGAAAAGATCCCAAAAACAGAATATTGGAAAGTTGACAACCAGTAAATAGATAAATAAATAACACCAATCTAGTCACAAATAATTGAGGTAAAAATGGCCAAGTTTGCTAAACTTTACCAACAATCTTCCTTTAAAGTAAAGAATAAAAAGTATTTACATTTCATAGAGCAGCTGTAGCCCAAGCATCATAAAGCTGTATTTACTTTCCACCATCCACAACATTAACAAGAGTTACCGGTAAAAAATAGCGACTTCAGTAGTTGCACCAGAGTGTAATTAGAAAATATACCGCTCACAAGCATCTTCTAGGGAAGTGAAAGGACGCTTGAAGTCGGGATGACAGACCCGCCAAGCATCTTGGTAGGCCATCTGCAGTTCCGCCGGATTGGCTCGGTTCAAGTTTGCTTTCTGCTGCTGCTGCTGCTGAGGGTTAGATGGAGGGGGACTAGTAATATTTACATTATTACTGTTGTTTGCATTGGCAGAAATAGCACTTGTGGCAGTGGTGGTTGTACTCACGGAGAAGACAGCATTCTGTCCTTGGTGATTGGTGGAAATCATATGGAGGTTAGGATTAGGATTCGGGTTCGGGTTAGGATTAGAATTAGAATTGGTGCTCTGTGAACGTTGTAACAAGTGCTGCTGCGGACGCAAATGGGCGTCGATATTTGAAGGAAAACGGGACATGATTCCCTCCTGCTGCTTCTGCCAAGAAATTGATATACGTAAGTACATGTAATAATAGACCCAACCATAATCAAAGTAAAAACACTAGGATTTTAAAGAGAAACTTCAAAAGAAACTCAATTTCAAACTTTTTATAAAGCATTCTCACCTTCATCTCAAATATGAAGTCTGATAAGCAGATTTTTTTTTTTCACACTATTCCAGTATCCTGACTCCGCGCCCTGCTAAGGCAATCAAGTTATAAACATTATTTTTCTGAACCAAAATATAACCACGGAAATAATTTCCACATGATTCCGAGATAGGCTTCATTATTAGGTTGGACCCCCAACTCGGAACCGACTCAAAAAAAAGGGGAAGGGGGATTCGAAACAATCTTTACCAAACCATTCAAAATTCCAACAAAATATGATTATGAATCGCATCAATCCCACTGATGTCGTGAGCCGCTAAAAACATTATTTTAGCTCCCAACAAAAGAAAACAAGGAAAAAGAGGGTGGGAAAAAAAAAAGGAAAAGAAACTTACCGATGGTTCAATTTCTATTATTCTCGGATCTAGTACTCCAAGTCTGATATGATATTGTCGTCACACGAACAACCATCTGAATCCTCCAGCCAACTCAATCCTCGTCGATCTGATGAGGACGGTTAACTTCGAACTTTATTTGGCCGGGGTTTGTTTTATAGGCAAAATAAATTGGAAACAAACGAGAGCTTGAAGGTGGAATTTCGAGTGTGGTAAACAAGGAGAGGCTGTTACTGAAAAAACAAAAAAAATTAGAACTCAGAAGGAAGAAAAAAAGGGTGTTAGTTTTTGAAGCCACCATCTTTGCTACTTAAAGCCTCCATAAATTTTTTTGGACTATTTTGCCCCTCATATTTCAAACTTCCACCAAAGGAAAAAAGAGAGAAAACTTGAAGCCACCGCCCTTCTAAACCCCATTTTGAAGTCTAATTTGATGAAAAATTGATGGCAACACGGAAGAATCAAAGCGGGAAAGAGCCGATCTCATCACGGGTACGTTTTTTTTCAAAAAAAACTTTGTAAATTGAAGAAAAAAAGACTTTCGGTGCACTGTTAGGGTTGAACGGGACGCGTTGCTGCGCGCGTCCGTCGGGCGCCGGACGGCTTCATTGCCGTCCGTGGCCAGGATTTATTTATTTATTTTTTTAAATGTTGTAAGACCACCGGACGGGCAATGAAGCCGTCCGTGGCGCGAGCCGGACGCGCAGCAACGCGTCCGGTTCAACCCGAATGGGCGGTTTGCTCGTTTCGGGTTGAACCGGACGCTGCTCGCGCGCGTCGGCCGCCGCCAGCCGGCTTCCGACGCCTGTCCGTGCCGATTGCTATTTTTTTAATTTGTTTAATTACAATATTATGTTTTAATTATGTTTGATTTAATGTAATTAGGGTTAGTAAGTAATTTTTTATTATTTAATAGTTTGTGATTTAGATTGGTTACTTAATTTAATTGTGTAAATAATTTAATTTGATTAATAATAGATTAGTTCATTAATTAGTTTGATTGATGTACTTATTAATTTAAATAGTTATTAAAGTATTTAGGTTATATTTTTAATTAAGTTATTAGTAGATTAGTAAAGTTAATCATTTGAATTGATTAAATTAATTTAAATAGTATGTAAATTAGTTGAATGAGAAAACTAATTTAATTAATAGTAGATTAGTTCAGTACCTAATTAGTTTAATTGATTTACTCATTATTTTAATTAGTTATGAAAGCAATTAGGTTATATTTTTAATTTAATTATTAGTAGATTAGTAAAGTTACTCATTTTGATTGATTAAATTAATTTAAATAGTATGTAAATTAGTTGAATATTAAAAACTAATTTCATTAATAGTAATAGTAGATTAGTAAATCTAATTTAAATTGTGTGTAAAGTAGTTAATGATTTATTAAATTAATATAAATATTTTGCAAAATAGTTGAGTATTTTTAATTAATTAAATAGTAATTTAATTTAAAATTTGGTAAAGTACTTTAGTTTACTTAATTATTATATGAATTGTACTAAATTATTAAACTATTTAGGATTTAGGATATGTGTATAATTATTTGTTTAGACTATGAAAATATGATGACGATGAATAAAATTTTGTTTATAGGTTTATGGTGATGATGATGATGATAGTGATACTAGTGATACTGAAGATAGTAGTAAGCGTAAGGTTCGTGTGCGTCATCTGACCATGAGTCGTCGGAAGAAAAAAGAGGAAAAAGAGAAAAAGAAGCGAATGAGAATGACTCAGGTCACTATGGGGGGTGTACCGCTTCAGACTCGGTCTAGTCAGCCGATTCATATACCCGAGTATTCTCAGGACGACCTGGAAGAGGGGGATGAGGATGAGGAGGATGAGTTTGATGAGGATGATGTGCAGGACAGTGTTAGGATGGGTGCACATCACAGAGATACGCCTATGTACAATCTTAGTAGTTACCCTCCTCCTCGGTACTCCAGTTGTCCCCGGCCTGGTCCTCGCGGTTTACCCTCTCCCCCTATCCCTATCCCTTCTCCTAAGAGTGGTGAGTGGCGCAGTCCATATCATAGTCCCTCTTTCCCGCATCCGGGTGAATTCTCACAGGATATATCCACCGGTAGTCAGCCTCGTCCCCGCCCCGCTCAGGCATCTCCCCCCTACATTGATCCCGTGCCCCCTCGCGGAGGTCCCGTCTCCGCTCGAGTATCTACACGTCCTCCCCCTCTCATTGATCCCGTGGGCCCTAGCCGAGGTCCCGGATCCACTGGAGTATCTACACGTCCAGTTACCACTAATGCATCATCAAGTACCAAATATCTATATTTAATATTCTGTAATTATTTTTAATTAATTATTTTTACTTATATTTATTGAATTGTTGGATGTGTATAAAATGTAATAAATAATATTTGGCTTACTCATTCATGGTACAGGCGGCAGCAGCCATTCGAGAGTTTCCGATGACATTGATCCGACTACATGGCTAGTGACAGATGAAGTACCTGGTGGGCCGGTAGATGGTAGCGTGATTCCTAGCTTCCTTGGGCATATTGCTTATCATTTCTGGCATGGATACAATAGACCCACATTGAAGATTTTTAAAGGCGAAAAGATTCTGAATAAGTTGAAGATGTGGTATAAAGATATGGATGATGATGTGAGAGGCAAGATTCGGGGGACTGGATTGGGTCACCTTCTTCATACCTCGTATGAAGATATTGATCTTGGCTTAGTTCAGGCATTTGTTGAGAGGTGGCGGCGGACACCAACTCATTTCATTTCCGTTTGGGAAATGACCATCATGATGCATGATGTTTATCATATTTTGGGCATTGAGGTCGATGGAGAGTTGGTGTCGTACGTCCGACACGATTTGTTGAGGAGACATGCGGCAGGGATACTTGGCATGGATATGAATGATTACAAATGGAGTCATGGCGGTGTCTCTGATTCGTTCATCCTTGAGCGATGCGAGAAAGCGGACGAGAATACCCAGGCCTGTGCTTTCTTGTGGGTATTGTTGGCCTCGACGTTGTTCATGGGCAAGAGTGGTGGGAGGTGCAGTGTTGCACTTGTACATGAGCTGATGGCTGGGATCGAGAATATGGGTTCATACTCGTGGCGCTCTGCTACGCTTGCGTTCCTATACCGTCAGTTAGGGATGGCTAGTAGGGCAATGTGCACTCAGTTAGGAGGTTATTTGACCCTACTGCAGGCCTGGATATACGAGTATTTCTCGATTTTCCGCCCCCAGGGAGGGCGAGTTACCCGTGGGGGTAATGACAAGCCCAGAGTACATGACTGGATACCACCATCTTTTGCGGGGCCGACATCTGTGTCAGATCGTCTTCGTCAGGTTAGGGAGCGTCTCGACCGTTTCACCGAGTTAGAGGTACTTGATTGCTTCATTTGACTGTATTTCATTTTATTTTTTGAAAATCATATTTACAAATAATCTAAATACTATTTTGCAGGTTAAGTGGGAGCCATTTGGACCTGGCCAACAAGGAATAGTTCCTAAGACTATCTATAGTGGGTGGATAATGTATAGGAACATGCAAGAGCCATATATGCCGGACAGATGTATACGTCAGATTGGCTACGTACAGAGCATTCCTCGTTCGCCCATGTCCCCTGATGATGCATTCCGAGGACCCAAGACTACCCAGTACTTTGTACAGCATTCTGCTGTTGACACACTCAGTACTTGGAGGAGATTCCCGGAGTCAGCGTGTCTTAATTTGACCAGATGGCGATACACTTATAACGGTGACATCATAGGAGAGTGTGAGGATGGGTACCTTGAATGGTACAGGCAGTATTCACATCCATTTTTGCTGCCGACAACTGACCCATCTGCAGTCTCTACACCAGCTAAGAGCAGTCAGGATTATGTAAGTTGTATTTTTTATTTTTTGAGTTTTTGTAAATATACATTTCTATATTATAAGTAGGTTTAACCTTTTTTGGATTTTGTGTTTTCAGTGGATGAATGAATTGAGGAAGCTGACCAGGGACCTGATTAGAAAGGTCAAAGTGTCCGATCGCGACCTGGCTGACGAATATGATGAGAAGCTGCAGGATACGATGATCCGTTATTATAAGGCCCCATGAAGATTGTTGTATTTTTGGACTGGACTTGTTTGTTTTTCTCTTTCTTGGACTGTATTTTATTTTTTTTTGATGGTATGATGGGATTGTGTGTTATATATAAGTTAGCTTATTTGGTGTCCGTGTGGTACGTTTTTTTCTTTATGGCCAACAAGGTTTGTTATTACACAAATCATAAAAAACAAACAAACAAGCTATTAGATAATATCATTATCATCTTCATAGCAAACAAACCTACGTGGATCTAATCTAAGAAACTAAGATCAATGAAATCATTATCAAAATTCACAACTCGTCCAGGATTGTTGGGGACCAACCTATACCAATGTTGAATTCTAGGAAGAAGTGGTAATTCCCAACCAGCAACGCTAGGCTAATGTTCCTTATTCCACCGATTATTGATTGGTGGAACTAGAAAGTCACCGTCCAAATTGATCCGAATGAAGTGCTTGTAAAGACCATGGTGACATACCCCAATCTCAAATGCCGGACATGTTGCCTCACCGCGTGCAGTGTAGGTAGTACAGTCCAACATGTAGAGTTTAGCGACTGGTTCTCTTCCCTTGCACCGTAATAGTACACAATTGCATTGTTCATAGTCGCAACTACGAACAAGTCCGTCACACACATCCAATGGCGCTCAGGTGCAAAATCCTGTCCACTCCACCGTATACGACGGACTTCTTCCTGTAAGGACGTCCTGCATTTACATATATAATTATTTGTGCAAAATACTGCCAAGTTCAGCAAACATCATAACATAGAAAATGAAAAGTATTTATACCCGTAGATTCGTTTGTACAGATGCCAATTCTGTTTTAGCTCGTTTGCCATTACCTCTCTCGCCATCGCCTACTTCTCTTGGCTCAAAAACATGTTACTCGCGACTACGCGAAATCCACAATTGCCATCGGCACCAACATCAAGGTAACTGGTAATATATGGCCGAATGGGCCATGGAATGAGGTCGTAGCAACCATACTGTGAAATATCACTCGCAAAGATCTCTGTACATTACACGGAAAACAATGTTATTTGGAACAATTGATAATAAATAAAGAATATTCTGAACAATTACTTCTTAACATGTGGATGCATCTGTACGACCACCTGAAGACGAGGGGCGCTTCTTACTTGAATCGCTAGTAACTGTGGTCGACTTTCCTTGCACCTCGTCCCTGTAATCCCACACATTAGGAGTTGCTTTTTTCTGTGGGGATTGTTCATGTGCAAGAGTGTTTGCCTCTGCTTTTTTCTTTGATTTAGCCCCCTTAGGCCGCCCCTTCCTTCTCTTGACCTCCTCGGGTTGTTTGAACCCACACTGGTCTGGATGCATAATATCGTAGAGAACCCTATTTACAGTACATCGTACTGCCTTAGGACACTCGTTCAGCTCTTCCATCAACTGTCTGGTATAAAGGACCTCGTCATCCACATTGCTAGGAGCACTTGTACCAGCCTGTTCACCGATATTAAGGGTCGCCCAGAATGGGTGAATATGCTTAAGAGTTATCGATGTGCCGGCATCTGCAGCCTTTTTGAGGGCGCACGCACATGGAATTCGACAAGTCCAGTACACCACATGATCGCATCGGTCATTGGTTTCTTCTTTCCACTCTTGCGCCTTCGACCACTCAGTGTTCAGCTTTTGCAAACAAGTATGTGAAACTTGACACTTCAAGCGGTTCAGTGGAAAACCGCAATAATGGGTGCCAATTTTCTGTCTTGAGTACTCCAGTTTGTACCTGAATGTAGCCAATTACTGTAAAACATTCTACGTAAAATGCCATAAAAACAAAATAATTACTAAATATATTATAATAAATATAACTTCTAATATAATGGAATAGAACTTACCGTATTTCGGTTAGTTGACTCTGAATTTCCAAGTGCACCTTAGCCCAAAGTGTATCCAGGGACGCCGTGGATGTTTCCAGCCAGGTTTTTAACTGCTTGTGCACGCTCTCCACCCTACCTGTAGTAGTGTTGCCCATATGAAACATAGCATTCGTCCATGCCTTGACGAATTTGTAGTCAACCACTAGCCATGTCTTCTGGATATAAGTAAGAACTCTCGGAAAAGACTGCCAACGACGGTTTATTACGGCAACAGCTTTATTGTACTCATCCTGGCAATAGCTTCCACAATGTCTTTCCACAACCCATATGTAAAACAGTAACAATAACAGCCGGAGACAGATGACCAGGTAGCAAATCCCTAAACTGTCTCAAAGCCCAATAATAACTGTCAGCAGTCTCGTCACTCAAGAGGGCGAATGCAATCAGGAAGTTCTGGTTGCACGGTGTCATCCCAATAAACTCAACCAACGGCATTTTGTACTTGTTCGTCTTGTATGTTGAGTCTATCCCAACGACCCAGAAATAACTGCAAAATAAATTGACAGCATCAGGATGTGCAAAAAATACACGAGTCAGCACACCTGTCTCCTGATTGTAATCTGTCATGATGATGTAACCATGATGCTTGGCCACCGCTAGTGTCTTCGTCGCGACATCTATGGCACTCGATTCACCCAATACCGGGAACCCCTCATTACGCAATTTCTTCCTGAAATTGTACACTTACCGTCTGTTAACTTTTTCATCAGGAAAGATCCTTTGAATCGCAGCCATGATCTGACACGGTCTGTACCCATCTTTGGACATACCCTGTATAAGCTGTTTCACTCCATCGCTAAGGCCCCTCGTGGGATGATCTTCGTCAAACAGCTCGTGGCTATGCATTCCAAACTCACCAGGATACACTCGAATGCGCCACTTCCCATCCACTGAGTGCACATATAACTTAAATTTACACCCAGTGATCTGTGTCTTCGAATCTGATATGACATAGTATTCACCATCATCAACTGACACCTTTCCCCCTTACAGTATCTCATCAGAACAACATTCTTCTTCTTACTAGAAACTAAATTTATTAACATACCATTTGCCATGCCCATGCCTTTCACCCAAGCAACAGCATCATCCTTGTTTGCAAATTCCTCATCTGTAGCAAATAATATACTATAATCTTGACCATCGCCACCAAAATCTTCTAAAGAATCCTGCAAATTAAACATAAAATTACAACAATAAAAAACTGCATCATAATAAATTAAATTAAACACATATTCCAATAATTTAAAAAAGTTATACAATTATAATAAATAATAAAAAAATATATATTTACAGTAAATAGATTAATTATTTACTAAATTAAATTTCCCAATACCTACCTAATAAACATTAGCGATTACTTAAATAGATTAATTATTTACTAAATTAAATACTTATTCCATAAAATTCTTTAATTATTTAATTATTCCCCCCTAAATAAATATTTCTAATAAATTAAATCTAAATAGATAAATAAAATTCAACTAATTACATTACTTAACATAACTAATTAATTTAAGATATACAATAATAATATTCTTACTTAATTAAATTAACAAAACATGCAATAAATAAAAATATAATTCAACTAATTAATTTACTTAACATAACTAATTAAATTTAATTAACATAACATGCAATAAATAAATATAATTAAACTAATTCAATTACTTAACACAACTAATTAAATTAACAAATAAATTAACATAACATGCATGAAATTAAAATTATTACAAAAAATTAAAAAAAATAAAAAATTTTTTAAAAAAAACTCGGTTGAACCGGGGACGCGCAACACACGCGTCCCGGTTGAACCGGGGACGCGCAATATACGCGTCCGACCATTGAACCGGACGCGTACATTGCGCGTCTCCGGTTCAACCGGGACGTGTGTTGAACGCATCCGGCCATTGAACCGGACACGTTTATTGGCCGTTCCCCCGGTTCGATTTTACCCAGACCGGCCGCGCAACATACGCGTCCCGGTTGAACTGGGGACGCGCAATGTACACGTTCGGTTCAATGGCCGGACGCGTTTCTTGCCCGTCTCCGGTTCAACCGGGACGGTTTTCTTGACCGGTTCGGTTATTTTTTAAGGTTTTTTTTTACCTCTGAATTACTCATTTTCTCTCTCTCTACTGACAGGGGCAAAATGGTCAAAAAAATTTTGAGGTGGCTTTGAGTACTAATTTTGTTGGCTTCAAAAATCCATCCCCTAAAAAAAGAGGGTTGGTTATTTGGGAGAAATTGTGGTCGTAGACTAATTCATTCATTAATGATTAGTGCTTTTACCAGGACCGTTTCTTTCTAGCAGGGCCAAAATTTTATTATCTTTTCAAATTTGCCCTTCAAATTGCACATCAGTTCCTCATAAATAATTAGCTCTTTCTTCCTCCAAAAATTTTCTAACGTAATGTTTGGGATTGGATTAACTAAGGAAGAATGTCTTTATATCTAGCGGAAAATTTTACTCCTTTTATAAGACATCTTAACAAACAAATGTTGAAAAAAAAAAACAAAATTATTGGTGGATCGGATTCTTATTCTCTCGTTTCTTTATTCTCTGAATTAATCAAGTTTTCTGTTTCCTTTGTAAAATTTGTTTCTAATGGTAGCATTTATCTTGTTTTGATATAAAAAAAATAAAATATATGGATTCTATCTTGTTGTGTTAGAGGGGGTATAAACACAACAATCCAGTAGAAACGAACTCCAAAAAATCTTCTTTCTGCTACCAATAAAATAGGACAACCAACCAAGCAAACCAAACAAGCAAATATCAAAGAACTGATAAACTAAAGTAGACACACAGATTTACATAGAAAATTCAAATCGGGAAAAACCACGAGACTGTAACAACAGTCAAATCTCCACTATCACAATAATGGAAAAACAATCTTCACCAACCGGTGGATACATAAGACTTCATCCAAAGGTGAATTACAACAATACTCTTCTAAAATAAACTTAAACCACAAAGTATGATTGGAAGGATCTCACCAAAAAGAGCTAAACGGAAAATTAAACCAGAGGAATTGTAGATCTTGTTGAGAGGAACATATATGCAAATTTGTACCAATAACTGACTCTGCTTCGTCACCCGATCAAACCTTTAAAGTGAAACACTTTTTTCTCGTAACGCCAAAACCCCCCAAACTTGTTTTCTCTCTTTTTCTCTCGCGCAAAAAGCCTTTGCGCAGCTGCCACTTGTTTTCTCTTGGCTGAAAAACACACACAAAAAGGTCAAAAGACTATTTTGCTTTTATAAGCCAAAAAAAAAAAAAAAACCAAAGGGTTTTGTTTTTTTGTCAAATCAAAACCAACGTCCAAGTGGACTTGGTTTTATTTTTCTTTTCTTTGTTGGTCCAATTGAAGGGGAACCCGGGCCCAACAATCTCCCCCTTCACCTCAATTGGGGTAAAACCAAAGCTGCATCCTGTTTGCAAAACAGGAGCTTGTCTCTACTCACAGTTTTCGTCAACATATTGGCACTGTTGTTATTTATATGGATCTTCTCAAGAACAATGCCTTGGACTCCAACACATCTCGAATGCAATGATACCTCACATTAATATGTTTTGACCACGAATGAAATCTGGAATTTTAGCCAAGTGAATAGCACTATGGCTATCACAGAAAACCACATACCTCTCTTGTTTCATATCAAGCTCTTGTAGAAACTTCTGTAACCAAAGTGTTTCCTTACAGGATTCAATAGCTGCGATAAACTCTGCCTCTTTAGTAGACAAAACAACACAATTCTGCAACCTACTCTGCCATGAAACTGCTCCCCCTCCATTACTCATCAAGTAACCAGCAGTAGACTTCCGACCATCAAGGTGTCCCGCCATATCAGCATCTGTATATCCATCTAACATGGTCTTCCCATTGCCAAAGTAAAGACTCAATTTAGAAATACCCCTAAGATACTTGAGAATCCACTTCACATCAATCCGATGCTCCTTACCAAGTTTTGTGTGTCTACCGCAAATGCACGGGCTTATCGTGTAGCAATAAGATATCGTTCCCACGAGGACTAAGATACTAAGTACTGAATTTCTAAAACCTAGTTAGCTAAACCAATGCAAGATTTGAAAGTTGCATATTTATAAAGCAAACAAGTAAATAAATAGATCAAAATTTTTAGAAAAGCAGATTATGACAGTCTAGAATTTGGTTCACCACAATGATGTTTATGAATTATTATGAATTATTATGAATGCCAACTTATGAAGGTGAATTATCCTATTTTAATTATTATCTCCTCTCAAAGTATAATAATGTGCCTAAATTAACCAACCTCCTATTCTCATGGTGATTGCATTAACTTAAAACCATTAACGATCTTTGATATTCAATGAGCCCTCAAAAGACTAAAACCTACTCCCGTGATTCTAGATCTTAGGTTCAATTCTACGGTCTCGGTATTAAAATTTCACCTCTCGGTCCTTCACTCAATACCCATTATCATACAAATAAGTGGCCAACAAATTTATAAGCATTAAACACACTAGAATCAAATCATAAGTAAAAGGCATTCATGCAAGGAAGATCAAAACTTTAAATCATAATCATTCATTGGACTACCCCAAATTTTAGAACAAGAAAACTCCTCACTCATGTTCAACAAAGAATCCATCAAAGCAATAAAAATCAATAAACACATGGCAAGAAAGATTAAATAAAGGCATAAAAATCTTAATCTGAATAATCTTTACTTGAATCCTTGAATGGAATAAAGTAGAGATAGTTCTTGAAAAGAGAGCCAAAACTCCTAGTCCTAAAAGTTCTCTTTTTATTCTTATCACCAGTTAGATGTTATCTCTATTTGCCGTTATCTCTGTATCTGCTATGCCTATAAAAGGAGACTAGTCTCTGCAGAAACAATATATAGATCATTCTCTCTTTCTTCCTCTCTATTGTTCTCTCTCCCTACTTGTTCTTTCTCTCAGCTTTATAGCTTTGTTATTTAGTTCATATTTATAAGACGTTATCATCATGAGTCTCTAGCTCTTGCTTGATTCGGTTGGATAATGGATGTCGCAATCAGAAATGACATAGAAATATGTCTAGCATATAGTGCAACAACACATTCAATACTCAAAGAGAGGAAATACTTTTCTCATATAGTGCTGAAAAAATCTCACGTTATTACGATATCTGGGAGTACAAAATTAATTGAAGCCTCAGGAAGAACAAATATAACATTACCTGGAGGTAGGCATGTCCACGGTTCCGGTTCTAATCAAAATTGAACCAAAACTGAACCGGCGGTTACGGTTTCATAACGGAACCGTAATTGACGGTTTTGTGAACCATAACTGAACCACATGATGAAGGTTTGGTTATAGTTCTAGTGTTTAGGAAACCGAGAACCGGCGGTTCTAACTGTACTAAACCGTCGATTAATGCTAATTTTATTATAAAAAATTAAAAAATATTATGATATGTACGTGCTTGACATATCTCGTCTCTAAATCTAGAAACAATGATTAATTATTATTATTATTATTATTATTATTATTATTTTAGTAAAAGGTAATTGTATTTCATTCATGATCAACCAGCATATGTACATTCTGAGTTTTTACAAAGAAGTATGAATTTGAATGCCTAAACCTGTCAAAAATCTGATATCATCTCCACTACCAATTCTATACAATGTTTTGATCTTCCGTTTCAGCTCATGTATCACTCTCTCAGCTCTACTACTTTCATCTTCTTGAAACTCTCCAAACTTTATCTGGTTTCTTTCTGTCCAGATTGCATAAATGATTGCATTAATGCAATTAATGCAAGCCTGAAACACCTTTTTCCTCAGTGATCTCCATCTCCAAACTCTGCTCAAGGATCTCAGTTTTAACTCTTGCAGCTGGTACTTGACTTCTATCCAATGCATTAGCTTTTTCCATATCTCTTGTGAATAATCACAGATGAACATGAGATGCTCCAGGCTTTCAGGTTCTTTTTTGCACAATCTTTGTCTGCTATGATCATCTTCAGTTTTTCAAGTCTATCTACTGTAAGCAGTCTTCCCTGCCAGGCTAGCCAGCTTATGAAGATGTTCTTCGGGATTGTGAACCTACTCCAGATCATTCCTACTGTTTACATTTAGCTTGTTCCTTCCTCAGCCATTTATAACCACTTTTTTATGGTGTATTCCTTCCCTGTTATCCAATTCCTATCTTTAACTCCATCTCTGAGCTGATTTCTGACCTTCATCATTTTCCTGAGATGCCAACTACAATCTTTAAAAGATTTTTTAAACATTTGTAATTGACACTCACTGTAGGTTGACAAGTGTTCTTTAAAAGATTTTTGATACATTTGTGATTTAACTTAATTCTTTACGTTCTATAAGATTTTCATAAAAAAATGTCTTAATAATGGAAAATTATAAAAGCATTCATTAAATCCCATGAAAACTGACACCAAATCGAATTTAAATGAAAATCTAAACTTTTGGTTTAAAAACTCAACATAAAACTCATATCAAAACCGTCACATGTCAGAACCGAAACCGAACCGTAACCAAACCTAAACCTTCGGTTCCAAAACCAGAACCGAAATTGCAGTCTCAAGGTTCAGTTTCGGTTCCCATTATTGTAGTTTTAGAACCACCGGTTCCAGAACCGAAACCGTAGGTTCTAGAACCGCAGACATGCTGACCTGGAGGCACTAAATTTTGCATTAATGATGCATTATATTACCCAAAGTCTCAACGAAATTTGTTAAGCTTCAAAGATATTCGCTGAAATGGATATCATATAGAGACTTGTTGTGAAGGTAACATTGAGTACTTGATGAGAATCATGTAGCCTTCCATGGTGATTCTCCTAGCGAGGGGATTGAGCTAGTCCTTCATTCTAGTTTTGGAATTCCAAGTTTACTTTGCAGGCCAATCAAGGAAGAAAGGATGGATCTTGAGTATCTATGTGATAGGGAGTTGGTTCAAGAGAGCTATGATCAAGATGATGAGAATGTCATTAACTTTGGGGTTCAAACCAAAGAAGATGATGACCTCATGGAAATAAGTGCTCAAGAGTATCAAGAGAGTTTGACTCTGTGTGCTCCATGAAGATCATTGATCAAGCTAGTGAGAGGCATTTAGGTTCTTGAGTGGA